AAAGCCTATTGCTAATGCAGCTATAAATGAGCCCGTATGTTTTTCAACTATGACTGTACGTCGTTTGACCATTGTCTGTGTTATATTTGAGTTGAGTACTGCCGTATGATTTTCGTGTGGTAACAAATAGAGAACTAATGTTCGAAGACTATTCGATCGAGCTTTCAATTCATAACCACCATCATCATCTCGTACACGAAAATCCCCACGATTAATTTGAAGAGCTAAGGTTTTGATTAATTCTAATGACGATGGTTCTTTAAGACGAGTTTTTGATATAGGTGGATTATCCAAAAGTGTAAATGTTACATAGACATCTTTACTTTGATTGTCAGTACTATTACGTATCGTATCGATTATAATCGATGATAAACGAATATGTCGAATTCCAAGATCGACAGCTAGTTGAAGATGTAAACGATATTGAAGTGATAGCAAATGTCGCTCAACAGGATGTTTTGCATCATTATTAAGTGTCATGCGAAGAATTGCATAGTTAAAACCATGACTCGGTCCTAAAGCTCGATAACATTCAGCCAAAGTCGAATCAATTGCTTGCATTGAATTAGGTAAAGAGTTATAATTGAAGAAATCTTAGCAAAAAAAAGCAGATGAATGAGACATAATGCATTGAAGCGCCCACTTTTGTCCTTAGTCTGCTGTAGACAAAAAGCACCTATTTGATCATTTTACACGAGAACAATCACTTTTCAAATTTCACAATCGTCTCTTGAGGGTGTGAGGTTGGGTTTTCTCTTCATTAACAGTCACACTCAATCGGATACAGCAAGCAAAGCTCTGTATTTTTCATATAGAAACCTAGTTTTAATATAAGTCATTTTGGAAATGAAAATTTCGAAAGTACAGTATGACTAAGAGGTGACTTTGCTCGCAAATATAGTTCTTGTGCAGTAGCACAACTTTTCTAGAATTGCTAACCTATGATCATCCGTATTGTTTGACAGTCATCAATTTTATCGATAAAGCTAAGGAATTGGAAAAGATGTATGACCGCATAAAAACTCTATCTGCGAGTAAAGCCACTTTTTAGTTGTATTGTACTTTCAAAATTTTCATTTCCAAAATGACTTATATTAGTTAAATTAGTTTTTTTTACGAAAACATAGAGTTTTACTTGCTCTATCCGATGCTGCACTTTGTTAATAGATAAGGTTGAACAATTGATTACAATAGATGTCACAAAGATCGACAATTTAATCTGTCTCATCCATTAGTTCTATAAAACTGTTTTTTTTTCTCAGAATACTTTCACATTTTTTGTCATGATTATTGATTAACTTTTATATTTTGAATTGAAAAAACTAAGCAAGAGAAAAATATTAGTACATATATACTTACTAAATTCTTGATGAACTTTTGATTGATCATGTTTGTTAATATTATTAATATTAACTTTGATTGGAATGAATTTTTGTAAATCAATTTGATTATATTTTGCTGACCAAAACCATTCATACTGTTGGATGAAATTCACTTGTTCATTTTGTCCGATCCATCGATGACATTGTAATCGATCACGATCACATTCATGAATACCCGTATATTGAAATTTAATTACATTATTATCAGTACCGAACTGAAATACTATTTGACTCATGGTATGCATATGTGTATTGACACTCATATTCATCACAGTGCATTGCTGTGTTTCTCGTTCATAAGTATAACTGAGACCAACTGAATAATCGATCAACATACGAGTTGCACTTGATGGTAGGCTATTATTTTTTGTTCCAATATAGTCGATTCTTTCAAATTCTAATACTTGATCAATGAGGCGATCGTATGATTCAATTGTTGTACTAGTAGTGTTGAGAACAGGTACCAATGCTTCGGCATGTAAAGATAGACGAGATGGAAAATTTTCCGGTATTTTCTTAGTTATAGTTCGATTTGGACAAAAGACACCTGATGGTGTTGTTATGTCAAGAGTTGAATTGGATATAAAACGTATAATATTGTATGTGTAAGAAAAATTCTTTGATAATACATCAATTTGAACAATATCAGATGCAATATTTGAGTTAGACAATTTAAGAAAATAGGTTGCATTGATTGTTAAATTTTGTTCAGAAACATAGAAACATGATTGAAATTGTTGAACAGCAATACCACCACGAACAGTTGTTGAACCGACATATCGTGTATAAAATCTATTATTATATTCATTTCTTTCATTAAAACCAAGCAAAATAGACGGTTTTACAATTTGACTAATAGCAATCGGTTGTCCTTCGTTTTTGTCAATTTCTAAACGAGTGCATTCCATGTTCTTATCAATAGATAAAATTTCATTCGTTTGAAAATCATAATATTTTTGTGTTATCAATTCAAAATTATGAAAAATAATAGCATCACGTTTCGGACTATGGAATAATTGAGTTATTTGTACAGATTTGGCATCTGTACTCACTTCAGCAAAGAATTCGAAGCGTTTTGGTATTGATGATTGCCAATGTGGACCACTTGATGAACTTGTAAGACCATTTGGACAGATCGTCACATCAAACTCTTGACAAAATATAATTCGAACGAGTAAACAAACAATCAGTAACTCGACATGAAACATAACAAGTATCATGTGTTAATGATAGCAGCAAACAAAAGAATAAGATAAGAAAGACACACTTCTATATTTTATTCGCTTACATCTCTATGATGACAAGTCTATATTACATTATCATTGTTGTGCTGTTTGCCTTGACTTGCCAAACATATGCTGCTTCGATTCCTACTTATCCAATTTTTCCCAAACAAGCACAATTCACTATTGAAAGTATTGTATTTGATGCTCAAGATGATCGTAATCTTACTGAATATATCTACGATTACGATTACAATCGTCTTACTGTTATTACACAAAAGACAATCGAATATTACAATTATAAATGGTTACAAAAAGCTGTTTATTCACTAACAGATCGATCAGAATGTAATGTCTATCCAATTGATATGAATAATTCAGCTGATGGTTTTTCTGCTATAACAGATACTAGTACAAATAAAACTCATATTCGATCATTGCAAGATTTTTTATTATTAACATCCAATGCTACATATCTTGGAGATACAATTCTACGTGGTTTCATTCATGTTGAACAATGGATTGCATCTATTTCGATCGATACTGAAATTATTTTCTCATTTGCAAAAGCCTCGTATGCAATGCCTTGGAATAATTTTCACTATTCGATTCCTGTACAACGTATTCTACGACGTAAGAGTGATGGTTCATCATTACAAACTGATAATTTTTTTGACTATCGAGTTAATATTAGTAGTACTCCAGTAGCACCACCAAAAGGTATCTATTGTAAAGATTGGGTACCTTTTTATGAATGGGCAAGTGGATCCGATCTTGGAATTCAATTTTCTCAAGTATTCAGTGTTCGTATTGATATTTCAACTTCAATCGAACAACTTTGGCGTTCCATACATCTTCGGTATCATAAATCGAATGATCATCAATTAGTACGTTATGATTATACGCCTAATGATCTCATTCGAAATCCTGTTTCGATCATTTTTGACTATGCAGACTCATCATTGCTAGGTTATACAATTGATCGTCGAACAGGCTCGTGTAGAATCGAACAAGCAGTCAACATGATATTATCAGATTCAATTCTTCATGAACCAATGGTAACATTGATTAACTACGAAGATTTTCTTCTTAATCCAACTGATCAAATTTTTCAATATGTTGGTATTCGTCCGTGTCGTAGTTCTACAATGTGTTCTGTTTTTATCAAACAAGAACATGTATTTCCATCGGATCCGAATGAAGATTGGTTGGTAACAAATATTGAATATTCTTGGTCAAAACGACAAAACAATGATAGTATGAATGGCAACAATGATAATAAATATTTTTTCGATTATCCTGTTGAACTTTATTTTAAATTGTATCGAAGAGACGATGGAATACCAGCCGATGTTTCTTTTCAATTTTATGACTATCGTACAGATGTATATTTAAATGAATTTGATATACACTTATGTTATAGATCGAATCAACTCTTATACAATCATTTAGCATTTCAACTCAAACTTATCAATAGAACTACAGTAGATGATATAGAAAATGTTATTGTTAACAGGTAAGTTTTTTTTTTTAAATAATCGAAATATCGTCTTGATAAATTTCTTTTTCATAATTACAGACGTCATCTTGTCGAAAACATTCGCGAACAAATGATTTCTCTAATGGAAATTAAATATCTGCGCATCTCACAAGTTGAACTCGATCATCATACCAAAGAATCAGGTCACAATGAAACATTTTATTGTATTTTTACTTTACTCGATCGAACACCATACATCGATGAGACTTCAGAAGTTGGATTAGTTGATGCTCAAATGAAACTTGAACGTGGCATCAATGAAGGTAAATTCAGAGTTGTTACCATTGAAGGATACTACTTCGAAGCTATACCATATTCACTTGAAAATGTTGAACATTTTTATCCATTTAATCCAAATGTTAGTGTCAATGAAATACAATTGATTAATAATATGACAACGATCATAGAACGAGAAGAAATATATGAGCAAATTAAATATTCTAGTAAATCACAAGCACTTGCTATCGTGGGTGGGATGTTGACCGGATTCATATTTGGTACTTTATTCCTGATTAGTGTTTTTCATATGGTGAAGAAAAAAAGTCAAATAACTGGTGGTATCACTTATAATAATATTAGTTTTCGTTTAAATAAAAATCGACAAGAAAAAGATGAACCAAAAATTACAATGGAACATCCTATGTCTGTTCGAAATGAGACAGATAGTTAAAGATATTTACCATCTTTTTTTTTGTTCTGTACGTTTCGTTTTTTCTTCATTCAATAAAATGAAACTAAGAGATTCAATTCAAGAATTATATAAAGTTGATGTAGATGTGAGCATGTATATTGTTGTCCGAGTCTGAGTATGTCAGAATGTCAATGGAAATATTGGTGTGGAAAAAAACAAAATCTGGTGATGCAAAAGACATAAAGTCAATTTTGATACTGATGATATATGGATGTAATGTTTTCTTGCCGCAGTGCTATATTCACCTTTGAAAAAGTACTAGCAATCAATTTTTTATTATAATCAAATAATGACCTGAAATTCATAGCTCTCCAATCGTTGTGAAACATTTTTTAAGTATTTAAAAAATTTCTTATGGATGTGTGATTATTAAATCATGTTAAGTATATAACATAATCAATGAATATTGTCAATAAGATCTTGCAATTTCATATAAATTTAAAATTACGTATGACTTTGAAGATTATTTTACAAACAATATGGCTATTCAATAATAGCAACATCATACTTTTTATCATTGAACATTATATTAAGTATCTCTTATAAGAGATAACAATACTCTATTCAAACTACATTTTACTTTTGTTGTAAAAAATTATTTTTTTCAGTCAGAAAAATGGTATGAATAAGATTGAAACAAACATCTTGTCTTGTAATTAATTTTAACTTGCTGATGATATTCATATATTCTAATAAAGTACTGAAAGGGTGTCGATATGATTCTTACACTGCATCCACCCATATCCTCGTAGTGATTATCGTGCTACGGCAGTTTCACATCGATCTTTGCTGCCAACAACAAGTGGGTAGTAAGCACACTTGATATGAATATTTGTTAGTGATTTGTCTCAATTTTATTTTCATCAAGAACATTTTGCTAAGGAATGCATTATCTTATCGAGCTAATTTGCCATTCGTCGATCAATAACTTAGTGTTAATGATACGTTTGATTGGTCTTGAAATGAACTTAGAAAGATATCATGGAATCAGAGAAAAGAGAAAAAAAAACAGAATGAAATATCATGGTTAAATTTATTGTATATCAAAATTTTTTATGTTGAATGATTCGTTTTTAAGCTTTTGTAATGCATCTTCCAACTTTTGATTGATTGATTGAGCTCAGGAGATCCTGCTGTGACTTGTTTATCCGTTCAGTCAGCATTCTTTTTATGCTACTAATAAAATATACGAATTTAGTTGACAAACTCTTGATTTTGAATACAATTTTTGTTTATAGATCAAGTCTTGTTTTTTCAGTCAGCTTCGCGATTTAAAACATTCAGTATCAATTAAACAATACGACTATGAAATGTAGTCTATTATCACTTAGAGATTCAATGCTTGAATCATTTCTAACTTTAATCTATTTGGTTTTCGAAGCAAAAGTCAAATGTCTTTCATCTATTTATCTTCTTTTTTGATATTTTTTAATTAGTTCTCTTACACTTCTTTTTTTTTATTACAAAATAATCAATATATACCGAAGACTGAACTGGTATTTTCGAAAGAGTTCAATTATTCAAATTGATAAGTTCCAGACGTGTGACAGTCCTACTTCTATGAACATACTCTTTTTTTTTTATAAGATTCAGTTCTTAAAAACAAAAAGATTCACAGAACTGAGAGCCATTATAAGTCTGGGTACAATAGAAAAATTTCTTGTAGTTTTCTTGATGAAAAATAAAGAACTGTATTTTTCGAAAATGACGTATTTATTATTGCGTAAATACCACATGATAATAATAAAAAAAAACCAATAAACGTTCAGTTAACCAAATATAAAGCAAAAAAACTAAATATTATTTATGGCGAATAGTTTCGACGTTTGTTGTTAAAAAAAAACCATATTTTTCATTATTTTAGACAGTCGAATATTGATTTGTTGAGATTAATTTCGCCAAATTGTAAGAAAATTTCAAAGATGTAACCTAAAAATAAATAACACACACAAAAGTCAAATATATATGGGTCATCAATTATCTTACCATAAAAAATATCACCACTACAAAGAGAATCCCAAAAACTGCGAGAACTGCATATGCTTGATTAGTAACACCAAAACCAACAGTTAACGCAGTAATCACTAACATAATATAACCAAACCAAATGCATATTGCTATGAAGATAATCACTCCAATTGATGTAAACTAATATTGAAAAATAAAAATAAAAGACAAAACTAAAAAACAACGAATAACATACGATAAGTAATCCGATTTGATGTTCTTGATATGTAACAACAAGACCAAATACATAATAGATAGCTAAAAAAAGTATTGGTATCAATGATTGAATTCCACTTGAAATATCCACTGCATTTCTAATAAATACTGAATAAGTTCCAACACCAAGAATAAAAATGCATGTAAGCTATTTAAAATATTGAATTTGATAATATATCTCTATAGAATAATTTAGTAAACTTACCCATTGTATAGTAAGAAGAATAAGAAGATATTTCTTAATGGGAACTATTTTCAAATTATGATAAAGTAATGATTGAGCGATTTTCTCATTGACGTCTAGTGGTGATATCTTATCTGTTTCAGACGGCATATTGAAATGATTATTTTGTATAATGTGTAATTGATGATGTTTTTAAAAAAGAATATTTTCACATTGTCTTTGTTATCGATTCATGTAACAGCTGTTATTAATATTAATTCGTTTCTATTTTATAATCACTAACAGTGATACACTTTGATATTTACCGTCTCCTATCAAACGATTTCTATATAACATTGGGGTCTACTATAACCACCCATATGATTACAGATATAAATCAAAAATCGACTAAAGCATAGTCTTCGTACGCGAAAACCGTCCTAATTACTTTAGTATGATTGAGTAATTCTGTATTTCTTGTAAAATTTACAATTGTCATTGTTAGTTCACAATATTTGACTTTTATTCTAATTCTATAAGACATATAATCCTTTTTATTAAGTTAGATTATTTCATTTATATATATATTATATCAAGTAAAGTACAATTGGTTATCTTCAAATAGCGATTTATTCAATCCTAATGACTGTGATAAACTATTGATACCAACAAAATATCTGAGTAAAGAAAATGAAAAACTCATATTAGAATGCCATTAGATGAAAGATTTTTAATTATATTATTTTTCCATATAGAAATGAAGTTGTTTCGAATATTTAGCGTTCTCTAAATATAATGAGAATAATTCAACAAAGTAGAAAATATGTTCTTCCTAAACATATCTTGTTTATCCTGTTTCATAGATGATATCTTAAAATTATGCTCATGAAAAATTTTTATTCTTTACAAAATTATTCCATTCGACAGTCAAACTATCATTTTTTTTTAAATTTTACTTCAATATCATAAAGCAAAATAAATTAAAACGAATTAAACGATTCATTTTGATTTAAGAGATAAAAATCAATGCTAATTAAAAGAAAAAGCGCAGTTCGATATTGCCACACAACGATGAGAACGAAAAACTTGATCGTAACTGTTGTTTAACGAAGATGCATCATTAAAAGTTCTTCTTTTGTTAGATGATCAAGTATAGAATGATGATACTAATAATAATAAATCGCTTATATCAAAATTTTCAGATAAACTATTATATGAACTAGAGAAAAAATTAATTAAATCGATAGAGACTATCCTAAAATATTTGACAAAAAAAAAGAGACGAAGCGAATAGAATATTACGAATATAATACAAATCAATCTTGTATAAAAGTTTTACAGAATGTTTATTGTTGGCTACTATGATAGAAAACAATAGTAGTCTGAAAATAGAAAAAACCAATAGATAATCAATTGTTTTTGAGTTCACACTCTACATATAATGTAATGTCAAACGTTTCTTATTAAAAAACGTCATCTATCTACTTATTTCACATTACCTTCAATGGATAAATATTTAAAATACCTAAAAAAAAAACGTTTGTACTACTACATAATGCATTCGATTTAAAAGACAAACTAATAGTACTTAATACAAATATTATGAAATATAGTTAAGACAAAGTTCAATCAAACTAAAATTCTTGATTATTGAGAAAAATTTATTAGTAGTTAATTCTTCTTTTGTATTTATCTATATGAGAAAATATATTCATGTTGTTGCTCATAGCAATCTATGACTTATTAATTTAATATAATAGCATGTAATCAACAAACAGATGTATAGAACCTAGGGGAAAAAAAAACATTTCATAATAGATTTGTTTTTCTGTTGCAACTAACATCTTTATAAAAATATATTAATCATAAATCAAGATATAGTCATATATGTATTGTTAATGTTTAACAATGCCTATTTTGATGATACAAAAACTTTTAACAACTTAATCTTTCTGTATTTGAAATTGTTTAGTTCTGTTTCGAGACATATTCTATTCGATGAGTATAGTGTAATCATTCAACTAAACTATATAGTAGCATAATAAAATTTATCATAACTAGAATTTTTATGACGAAAATAATCGTAGACTATTCGTACAACTTATGAATGACGGTTTTTTCATATATACATTGGGTCTCTTTCTTCAGTCGAATATTCTAAAATTTTCATTTAAATACAATGATATCTTGAACAAACCAATAATCGATATTAATTATTAGTACTTTCTATTGATAATTATGTAGTACTCGAATTCTGTGATTCGATATAATGAATTGAAATCTTTTCATGATAACTTTATATATAAAATTTAATATTCCAATTATAAAAAAAATATTAAACAAAGTGAATTATGATTATTTGCAAAAATATCAATTGTAAAGGTGTATTCTAATAAATATTTTTTTCGATTATGATTATATTTATTAAATTCTTCTGTTATCTTAATCACCTCAATATTTTTGTAAAATATAATTTTATCATTTCTAATGATTCATTTTTGTTTACCTTGATCATATACAATTGCATGATATTTACTTATATTACGTAGATTCTATAACTTGTGATATAATCAAACTATTCGTTTTTTTGCTTTTTGTTGGTTTAGAAAATTGAAGTCAATCATAAAAAAAAGAGATTATAATTCCTTTAGTCTACATATTATAAAACATGAGTTTCACTCGCAAGTCTTAGTAAGAACATAGATGTTTGATAAAATAATATTTATTTGAATTAAGAAAAATAAATAAAATCACATTTTTAAACTTCTCTATCATTTATTCCAAGTAAACACGTATTATCAAATGATTTCTCACAATGATATTCATAAACGAAATAAACAGAGATGATGACTGTTTGTTCGTTTTTTTTACATAGGAATGTATATGATGGCGATTTATTTTGGTCTTGAAGGTTTAATATTTACAGATTTTATTTGTATTTATGTTGTCCCATTTATCATAATGTGTTTTTTTTGCATTCCAAGATATTAGTATCAAAATAATAAATTGATTTATGATCTATGAAAAACTTTCCTTGAAAAGTCATAAAAGTTAAGAATATCATATAATCTTTAGATTCCAATTCGGATTCCGTACATGTCTAGACGGTACAAATGGGATTCCGAACCCTAAGTCATACATTAATCTCTTTCATATAAACAATCAATTTGGCATAGTGATTATTTCTTTGATAAATATGATGAATTTGGTATTTATAAATAATAGTATAAAACATTTATAGTATATTAATATATTTTTAAATTTATTAAAAGTTTTTTTATTTTTGTATTAAATATTATTCTCTCAAATGAATTACTAAATGATCGACTGTATAATCAGTTAGATATGAATTAGTAGTTTACTATTATTGCTATCATTTAATATTGAACAGAGAAACAAAAGAATATAGATTTGATTTACATCATACAACTTGAGTATGCATCTCAGCATCTATCTAATCATCAATTGTTTAATAAGTGCAAAATAAGATACTGATTGATTTTGTCTTGAAACGATCTATCTTTTCCCGTCATTCATTCTTAGTTAATCAAATTCTTCTTCTTCTTCTTCGTTTTTTTTTTGAGTAGTCTTGTGATGGATCGCACTGTTGCTCCTACTTCTTATTCTACAGAACACATGCAACACTATTATCACATTAACACACACACACAAGACTTACGTCTCATGGGAATGTTGCATCTTATTCTTCGTCTTCTTTATAACTACGTATACACAATCGTAATACTGTTTGGTATGTGCAATCTGTAAATATATGCGCATATGTTCTATTTTCTTCTCATTTAATAACTATGTATTGATATGGCAATGAAACTTCTAACTGAGTACGTTGTAAGTATAACAAACGGAAATTAATTTTAGTCAATATTCGGTATAACTTCAAACGATTGATCACATACATTTACTTTAGTACATTATAGTACAAATATTGATCTTTTGTTTCTAGGCTATAAGACTAACTAGTTACTATTCTTTTATTCATTCAGCCTAAAGGAACAAGAATATGATGTATATGTCTCATATATGCAAATTGAATTTAACAATAAAAGACACACAAAAAAAGAAAAAAGAAAGTTATCTTAAATTTCACTTGTTCGTCAGTACTATATCATCATCATGTCCGGTTAGTTCAGTCAGTGAGAATAATTCAAACGGAAATTACGAGTTGTAATGATTACGCCATAAGGACAACTGAAAAAGTTAAGTGTTTCAAAAGAAAAGGACATGATAATTTCTTTTTTTTTTTTTTGCTTCTTCTTCTTTTGCCTTCCCCACTCATATGATAAACGAAAGTTTGTCAATACAAAAGAAAAAAAAAAAACACGTAATCAGATTCATTAATTCAACAAAACTTCATAATCAGTCGTCATTGCAATATGAATTGCTTCGTTATTTTATTGAATATAGCAATAATTATCTCTGTTGGTTTCTGTCCCGTTTTTTTTTATTTTATCAATCATCATTTAGAGAGAAGAGGAAAACGACGAAGGCGGAGCGCACACTTATTAAATTAGAAAAGACATTTTCTATTGTCTATATGATGTTCATCATCGTTAGTTGATTTCAATGCAAATTTATCATTATTCAAATTATTTTGTCATGTGAAATATGGTGAAAGTGAAAGGATCATTTTTTTTTTTTTTTGTTACTCTGATCAATTGTCCAGAACAATATTTGAAATTGTGAACATAGAAAAGTTTAGATCATATCACAATTTGAATAAGACAAAAAAAATAATAAGCATGAGACAGCTGCAGTTAGATACTCACATATAATCACATATCGCCTCAAGGTTTGTTAAAGACACTCAGTACAGGAAATGATAGTGTTTTAATCAATATCTCTCGCATTTTTGATTAACTTGATCTCTCTCCCTTCTTTTGTTCTCTTCATTGACAAAGAAAAAAAAAAAGTAAAGCATTCAAGCAAAAAATGACAGGATGATGTTAGTTACTAGGTTTATGCAATAAGTTTAACAACTAGACAAAGATTAGACAAAGTAAGTAGTATTAGTCCAAGACGAGTAACTTCTTTCTACTAACAACAATAAATCTCTTTTATAAAAAGAAAAATGAATGCTTGCTCTCAATCATGGATGCCACTGTTCAACATCACCCTTTTGTATGCATAAAGATAAACGCTTAAATCGTATA